AAACTATATCTTCAACTCTATTACAATAACTTATTTAATTAGTAAAAATAATCTACTACAACCTAATTACAAATGTTTTAAACATTTAATTAAGAAAGTTTGCATTTTAATTAATGTTTAATTTTGCCGCGAAAATTGTATTTTGTTTGAAAAAAGAACATTATTTAAAGTCTTGTATTGATCGGAGCGCAGAGCATGCGCAAAACAACGAAATTTGCAATTACAAAGTGCTCTGTGCAAATTTTGACGGAGTTTAGGAACGTCGCACGTCCGCGTTTGTGGATGCGTTTTCTTAAAAAAAAAAGAAGATTAAAAAATATCGATTTTTAATTAACTTTGTTCAATGACCGTTGTAAATGGTATCTCTTATTAAGAACTAATAGTTGCACAAATTGAATTTTGCAAAACGGAATAAAATTATTTTTTTTTTCTAACTTAACAATTTGTTACAGATAATTTTATAGATAATGTTTTTGCAACAAAAAGCAAGACACTTCGGCCTTTTTACACTTTTTAAACTTTGGTTTTTAAATACACCGACCATTATCACTTAAAAGCTTGTGTTTACAGTCACAGTATATCCCAAAAGCCCCACGGTATTAGAGACAATGACGCCTCATAGAAAGTCTACAAGAATTTCATAGCGTTCTGCAAAAGTTTGATTTAATACTTTTTCGTATTTTTGAATACCAATAAAATAAATAAAACACATTATTTATAAACACAAAGATTTAATACAGTTCATTATTATACTTGACATGGAAGCATAAAAAATTGTAATTTAAAAAGTTAATTAAGACTTTTCCGTGAGTTTTAATGCCGAAATACCAGAACACTTGTTATCTCTTTCGTACTCTTTTAATAGAACAGAGATAGCTATATGTTTGAACTCAATACGTTAGAGGGAACTCATGGTTATTAGCAGTTAAATCTTTACGTGAAAGAAATGTAAATAACTTTCACCTAATTGGCAATGCGCGGAAATGCAATATGTCCTTTGAGTGTTATGTAACCTATTTTATATACACAATGTATTTCAAACTACGTGTTATATAAAGGTCAAGGTTAATCGAGGACTCCGTTACTTACATAACAATTCAAGTACTTTAAAATTAACTAAATACTGGTTAGGTAACATTTAAATCTTGTGGATTTAATACACCAGGGTATAATTCGATTCACATTATTCCCCTAACTTATCACAAAAGGAGATTTGGATTCATTTATTTTTTTTAAACTACTTTCTTGTTTATCGTAATTAATTTATTATGTTATTTGAAGGCATACTGAAATTATATTGAAATTACGACGTTATCTCTGAATAATATTAAAATCTCAGAATGCACAAACTTTTTTTTTAATCTATCTTATCTTTGAGCAATTTATAAATTTACTTAAGTTATAAATCTCGTCGATCGACAGGAGATTTATTACTTTTTACACAAACAAGCCCGAACAGCTTAATTAGCCGCGCGGACCTCATATCTCAGCGAACGCGCTATCTAGACCTAGGCATAGTCGAGTCTAGCTTTTAGAGTGCAGCGCAAGTGCAGGGGGGCGGTGTGGGGGCGAGGGGGTGCAGTCTCGTTGCCATAGCGACCACAAGATGGCGCCCGCGAAATTAGTACGTCTACCGGCTTTATGCGGCCCGTCTTCATTATGCCCGATTTCAATTTATTTCCGAATTCATATTGACGATAGTTTGTGCAGTTTGCTCGTTCTCTCTGATTAAACTGGAGGGACGCTTGCAGGAATAGTTATTGACAATATTTGTACATATATAAGTAGGTACTAATTTTGTCTTCATAGTAGGAAGTACCTCATCAAAACGTCTGCTATATATCTATTTCAAGCAATAGTAAAAGGTTATTTCTTAATTCTTAAACGATGGTTTAATTTAATTTCTGCTTATACTTAATTAATATAGAGTTACGTTATGTTTAATTTAATTTTCCACGTCTATAAAAATAATTATAAAAGTAATCTTTATTAGTTAAACTAAAAAAATATACTCTTTTGAACAAGCTTAAACTTTATTAGAGTTGACAAATTCAGAACAAACACATTGCTTTGAGGAAGTTTTGTCGCGTCGTGCTCGCGAACGTACATACATGCATATTACTCCATTCTTTGTGTTCGCCGTTCGCTCGTTAGTACCAACTCATGCTCTTTGTATTTTGTCATCGAGAATGACCACTACCATATATTATTAACTAGCTTTCGCTCGTGACTGTAACAAACATCCATCCATTTAAACATTCGCATTAATGATATTACTAAGATTTAATTTCTAAAAACTTTACAATGTCACATTTTTGTTCGAATGATGTCTTGTATAGATTTTATTGAACCGAGTATTATTCCAAAAACATATCATTTGTTTTAAATAAGAAAATAACTATAGGTTTCTATATTTAAACTTTAGTTATAATGTTTGAATAGAAGCGGTCGTATTTATAGTCAAAAAATACCTAAACTCTTCGAAATGTTGACAAATAGTAGTGGTGCTTTACATATTATCTCCCATTGTTATCACAGTATCTGGACGGCTTTTAAGAATATTACCTACGACTTTTAATTAGAAAAAACAAAATTTAAAGATTAACGCAAGGTACAGTCGAGGAAATCTGCGATGTTCAACTTCAGGAAAAATTGTTTTTCGCAACGAGACAAACTCTGCCTTTTCCTATAAATAACCAATTAGATAGCAGCGAGTGCAAACGAAGGGATAATAATAAGAAAATAGTCGTGTATCACTAACCGACATTTTTTTGTACAGATACATTTATAAGCTACGTTGTATTCGTTTTTCTTCACCGTCTCGTTTCAAAATGTTCAAACGTGTAATTTTTAAGATGGAACACCGTCAGTTTTCCCAACTGTACCTAAATACAGCATTGGCAATTGCATACATTTCTATTAAAAATAAACAATTTAATTATGTTAAAGTACATTTTACTTGTTTTCTTTAGTATTTATTACTATTTTATAAAACCAAACTAGTTATAACAAATGTAGTCGTTATTAATTCGTTTAAAATTAATTGCATTGTAACGATATTTCCCCCTACTTAGCGTCTGAATTTAACAAAACGGACTAATGGATTGATGTGTCCAGTTCCATTACCTTTAATGCACCTTTCGATTGCCTTTAAACTCAATTACATGCATTAACGATATTACAAGCGAATGAATACCCCTTGTACATAATAATTCTTTTTATGTAGTTTTTAACCGATTTCAAAGGTTCTTAATTATCTGTAAGTGATCGTAGTTTTAATTAGAATTTTGTTAAAACTTTAATACTGTTTGTAATAAATGATCCAAAAACTGGAAATATAAATCAGAAAATATTTGAGAGATTAATTTATTCAGATCGTAACTAACGCTTTTTACTGCCCAGTGTTAGTCTAACGCTTAGTGTAGCGTTTTTATACTAAATCTACACTAAGAAATGTTGACACAATTATAAATCTAAGTAATAATATTTAATTTGTAGTGTTATTGTCGGAAAAATCACGGAAAAGTCACTTTTCTGTAACTGCTAAGATTATGGCAACACTGAGGAAATTTAATTTTAATACTATTATTAAATATGTTTCAATTTCGCAGCGACCCAGTTGAGGTCCAGGGCTGCAACAGATGCGGCCCGCGGCTCTCATTAACTCGCGGAATTTCCACGAAATTGTTTTAATGAAAGCCCTAACCGACCGATGTGCCACTACCCAAGTTATAATTACATTTATATTTGTTATCAAAACTTATTTTAATTAAAAGTTTAAAAATAAATTGAAAAGTTCTATTAATTTTCGTTGCATGAAGAATAATTAAAACTTATTTTATTTAATTTAAAGACAGATAGAACAGCTGGTTTAGTCAGGTGAATGCTTAAGTAATTATTGTTACGAATACTGACTGAATTATATTAAGTACTGTCGTACTCAGAGTCGTTAATTGATCACTAAGAGATACTCTTAGTATGTATTTATTTCATAACAATTGTATATTTAACTGATTGCGGCAAAAGTCCTGTTTTGATTGGTTATTTGATGGCAGTGTAAAGAACATAACATTATTTGATAAATTACGCAAGTTATGGTATCACATAACTTTCCTTTTCCGGTGTATCGACAAAACGATACATTTTCAAGGTCGATTGTCGTCGGCAATGATTTAAAACCTTTCACCCAATGAATTACAATTTACAATTCAAAATCCATTCGCGCCGTGTGAATGACCCTACAGGTGGCGCGCCGGAGGCTGTTGCAAAAATGCAAACAAATGCGTCGCATGCGAATTGTTCCGTTGTACATTGCTGCTTCTGTTACTAGCTGGTTGATACACATGTATTAACTCAGCAATGGTTACGTATTTAGCGTTAATTCCGCACATTTGACAGACGGCGTGTTAATTTGTTGAATGGCGTACATTACGCGCTGTGGCGACCGTGAGGCCGTGGGCAACACTTTATTTTCGTATTTGGGTGTTCCGAGCTGAAAGTAAGAGTGACCTTGTTTTTGTTTGATTCATTGCCGGAACGATCTAATGAAGGGTTGAACGAAGTAACATGTATGTCAAATTGTTTAACCCAATACCTGGCTACATAACGATATTAAGCCCTCTTCTTAATTTTACTTACACAGGTCATGTTAGAATCTCTCATTGGTTTCGTAGATGGTATAACACCATTGTATGAAAAACGTTATTAAGAAAAATAAACTTATATAAGCTTAAGCTTATCTTTTTTTGTTGGTGTTCCATTAAGGAATTTGAATAACGACATTATTAAAAAGACTTATAACTAATACGGTTTCACGTCTTATAAATGTTGGCATTGATATTTTTATGTGTTTTCGTACGCAGTTGGCCTTGAAATGGAAGGGAAAAAATGTGAGTAAGGTTTTGTTAACAATTAGTCATACAAACGAACGACACATAGACACATGGTAAGGGATAAAAGAAAAAAAAACAACAGAAAATAAAATAAGGAAGAGTACTCACTGGTGTTGTCGTAGAGCGCCCTCTGCCGCGGCCGCGGCGCGACTCGCTTTTCACCGTCTGCAGCGTCCCGTCCGGCCCCAAAATAAGCTAAAACAACACAGACACACCACAGACTTAACATAAAGCAAATAAAAGTAAGTAAAAACAAAAGGAGAATGTTAACACAAAAAGGGAAAAATGAATAGACAAACATGCAATGGAAGGTTAGATGCCGACAGATTAGTTATTTTAGTAAATGAAAGTTAACGTTTTTAACAAGGCATAAAAACAAAATGTGAAATCTACATAATTGATTTTTATTTTATTGAAATTTGTTCGGTAATAAGAATTTCGCGACAACGCCATCTATATTTTATACGTAACACTAAATTTTTCCCACGTTTGTAGTGTAGCTTCTCACCGCTAGATGGCTGTTGAAATAAATTAGGATTTCATCAATAGAGGGCGCTAACCAGAACGAATTCTGTTAAATTTAAACTTCTATTTTATATTTTACTTCACCATGTAACAAATGCATAGTGAATTAAATATGAAAAAAAAAATCTATTACAAACGTTTTTGTAATAGTTTAAAAAATGAACAAATATACAACCGTAGTTCAGAAATATTAAAATAAGCGTGATTCGAGTTGTTCATATTAAATTGCTCCAAAACAAATCTAAATTATATGTCTGTGTACTCTGTCTAGACTGCATTTTGTTCGTTGTAGTTCCTCAGACGTACTTGAGAAACTAACATGGTGAATGTAAAATCTATCAGTGAGTTCAAATAATTTTTGTTTCGTAGAATTAAATTTGTTTTAGATTTTAAATCATAACTTTCAATTCTTTCAATATTTACTGGTGCATGGTTATCGTACAATTATACCAGATTTTCATAATTAATGAAGTATTGTCATCTCGTTTCGTTATTCTCGTTTATTGGTCTCTAAATTATATTCCGTCTGAGATTTTCTTTGTCGTTTTCATTTTAATTAACGATAAATAGTACTTAATTAGTACTATAGTACTATTTATGTTTTATAACTAGAATTTATTCTAATGCTATCATTTCTAATGACATGATAAGTGACGTCATTGCGATAGGATATGAAACTGTATCAATACCGTGAAGTGTCGACCGTGACCACTGCGAGCGTTTGGCGCTAGTGAGCCACGCGCACATGGCCGCACACCTGGCGTTTTAGTTCGTTACTCCTGCTTTTGTGTTAGACCAACAACATTTGCTTGATCGCTGTCTCAGTCTTCTGCTCTCTCTTTCGCTCGCATTATTGTGTCATTAAATTTTCGGATATTTAATAGGACTTTTATTATGCTTAGAGAATGTTTGATGTTTGAACTTGAAATTTTGTACACCCCAGATGTATTTGTAAATAAGCGATTCTTTTTGTTCGTGATAAACTATTTTCTTTTTAAACATCCTTTTTTAATATCGATCAATAAGTTAAGTAATATGGATAACCTTCTACATAAATAAATGTAAATCATAACTTAGTATTGACCCTCCGGCTAAATATGATAGAAATTTTACGATTTGCACAAAATCGGTTGACAACCTGAACCAGTCCTAAGTCCTCAAACCATGCACAAGCTTGGTTATCCCACAACGTCATCTATTCTCATTCAAATCGCAGCATTATAAGGATACCCGCGGGCCGCAGGTCGAAATAGTTTTTGGATGTGCCTGCGCTGCGCCGTCGTGTGATTTGGTAATGAACAAACAAACCCGACGGTTGGGACAGCTGCCGCGCGACCGGTCCTCGCTTACTAATTAATATAGATAGCGATGTGTCCGTTTTACCGGGTAATTAATAATTACTATAAACCCTGCATACGTTTGTTTGATTAATTTCAAAACAAACGACTTTACTTGTAAGGAATATCCGCCTATGTGTGTTTATTAAAGTATGCTCCATCTAATTTTATTACGATATATAATAAAGAGAGATTTTTGTATCAAATCTGATAAATGAAATAAATTGTTTGTTGTTGTTAGAAAAAATATAATTACGACTACATTAAGTTAGTTGCATTTCTTACTAATTATTTCAAGTGGCTTCGTTGGACTATCGTTTAATACATTTAATAGAGAGTTCGTCTAATTCGTTAAATATGAGGTAAGCAAAGATACGGTCAGATTTTTCGTTTTTCCTACATAATTGATTATATTTCTTTTGAATTAATGTTACGCCTGCCAATTTCGAGTAACTTCGCTAATTTTAAGTATAACTACATTGAGTGGAGTACGTAGTGCGTGGGCGTGTTCGTTGCGTGTGCTTAGCCGCGAGCCGCGTTGCACGTTGCGGCAGGTCGCGCCGCGTCACGCAATCACCTCCATTGATCACTTTTGATTTAAACACATATATATCTTTCCTTGCAAAACCTTAAGGATATGAGATAATGTACTCTCTCTCTTCTCTTCTTGTCCTATGTCACCAAAGTGGGGCAGAGGGAGCTCAAAGTACGCGTTAGATAATGTACAGAGTTTATTATTGATGTTCTGTTATTATAAGATGTTAATCTAAGATTGTATTGTTTCAATAATGTCCTATACACACCGTTTAAAATAAACGTCTTCAAATAAATTTATTTCGTATATATGATAGGTAAAAACATAATTTACAAATTAAAACATCAAATTAGGTTGATGTTATGTAAATGTTCAACAAAAAGACGTTAAAATACCCGACAAAAAAGAAAAAAATGTGTTAGTCGTTTCTTACGATGCCATGATGGATCCAAATGGCAGTTATTCAAAATCGGTTAAACCGGCAGGTGCAATGGCCGAAAGATAATAAAGGTAGAAGATAATCTCGTATTATAATCTCTACAGTAAAAGTAACGAAGTTAACTGGAATTCGTTTTATTTCTCGTTACTTGAACCGTTTTTGCAAGCCGTTAGCAAATTGTTGCCCTTGTTTGGTACCGCTACTTAACGACAGATGGCGCTATAAGTAATTTGGTTTGTGAACTCCGAATACTCAACTCACATAACAATGGGAAATTGAAGCAATTACTGGACCGTTTATGTAGACTTAAATGCATTGTTTTATTTAAATATAAAATAACGTAATTGTGTATTAATGATGCCGAATCAAATTAAAAAGTAAATCAACAACATTTGAAGTATCAACATATATCTTTTTTTTTAATACAGCAATTAACAACTAAAAAAGATAATTTATGAGACTGCTTGTTTACTATAAAAATGTATCTTCTTTACTAAATATCTTTATATTTTTTAGCCACGATTTAACCCTTAAAGTAGAAATAGTGTAAATCGAATAAAAAGGCAAATTATTTGCGATACAGATTCCACCCCAAATTGCGTTCGATCGGCAATCGTCCCCAAGGTTACAACAGGTGTGACGTAGTTAGACGTAGATCGGCCGCCAGGGGGCGGGGGCGTGCGATGGGGCGCAAATTGCCCAGAAAGCCTCGTTACCAACCAATTGGGCACTTGAACGTATATGTAAGAAATTGAGCGGATTCTAATATTCAAATAATGAGCCTTATCCAAGCTTAATTTCTTTATTACAATTATCTTGTCTTTAATGGCCAATTATGTTGGCTTTACAGCTGTTTGAATGAGTGAGGAAACAGAATTTACATTGGTAAAACATGTCTCTATGGTGATAAGTAGAATGCAAAATTGAAGTATTTCGTGGAGTGGTATTAAGTTAAAAAAACTTTTTTTTACGTTCAACGCGTTTCAATACACCGAAAAAATTGTAAGATCCAACGTTCCTGTATACGCATGTATTATATGTCACTTCAGGACTGGCTTTTCACTTTCTGTAAATGTTAAGAAAAGCAAACTAATGCACGTTTTATTTGTAAACAATTCGTCTCAACAGTAAATTTTCCATTGATCTGGTCAGTCAAGTGGGAGAGTGACGTTATTGAATTAGGACCCGATTAATATAGAGTCTCGCAGTCTGTCGGCTGTCGGCTCGCACCGACTCTATATTGTTTAATGGACGTCGAGGACGCGGGGCTTTTATCCCGACGCCGACGGAAGCTCAATTCAACGCAATCGACCGCTGCCGCGGTACGCACTTAGTTTTAGTTTGCACACCAGCGCTCCTCGTGGCGAGTAGATGAACTAGTAATGGAAGAAACGCATTATTTTTTCAAGGTATTTATTGAAACAGAGAATATTGTAGAGATACTTGACATAGGCATTTTAACTTTTACCAAAACTATATAAGTAAGTGCATATATTTAATCAAGACTATGCAAAAATCATGAATGATTTCTTTTTAGGCTATTTGGAAATTTGCTTACAGTTTAAAATTATGAGTAAAATAACCGACAGATAAATTAAACCGTTCCCGTTTGTGCACGAGGAACAAAGCGCGAAAATCATTGACATCCTTAACAAACCACTCATAGGGAATCTGTGCGGCGAATGACGAGCGAATGTCACTAATTTAACAAATTGAACCGCCTTCCGCCGCCGAGAGGAAACTGCGCGATGCCATTGACGCACATCACTGTGTCGCCAGCGCATCGCATCGCTAGCGCTCCGCCACGTACTCGCTGTAGCGAACATTTTAATAGCCATTTATTACGAACTTCTTGGGCGGTGAGAAACTGACCAATGGCTTGGCGACATTATGCATGGTAGAGAGTACAAAATCAGGTTGATTGAATGGAGTAACGTACGGAGGAAAAGGGAGTCCCTGCAAGAAATCAGCTGTAGCTGGATTCTTGAGAGAAATAGCAAGAAGTTAGTCACAATATGGAGGGAACTAAAGGTAGAAATTTTCACGAATATTGTCGTGTATATAAAAATGTTCTTTATTTTGTATTCTTTTAAAGACAAAAAAGTATCTTTAGAATATAGTTTGACAATCAATGATATCTGTACTAAATAATTGGTATTTTAATATTTAATTACGTCTTTCTTAAATCTAGTCATAACAGCATGACAACTGCTTTAGCTAACCTTTACCTTATCTCGCACAATCACATTTTTTATGCACAGTCATTTCTAGGTTAACTCCAGGAGCATATTTAGAAGAGTCATTCTACTTACTTGATTACATCTTTAGGAAAGTTGCCTATATCTTAGAAATGTTTTTT